AGAGAAGAAAAATATATTTGCATCAAGATTTTATAACAAGCATATTTTGGAAGTAAATCTCAGAAAAAAAAGCAGCTCTGTCGAATGACACAGAGGACTGGCAACAACCAGGATACTTAATTTGCTTTGAGTGAGAGATCAAAGCTACTGAATCTCTAAGAGATGGGTCTGACTCATAAGAAATAGCCTCAATGTCCTYTAAATTCAGGTTTAAAAACCAAGCTCATCTGACACTCCACAGATTTTTCAGATGAGAACTTCTTTATTAGTGTTTCAGATTTCAAACCATTTCTCTTGGAATAAAACTTACTCCCAGTTTTTTTCCTGTATATTGGGTCTATTGTTCAGGTCTTAAGAGCAGCACAGAAATCAAGACATTTGTGCAAAGAAAAGGTAGAAGCACTTAGGACATGATTTCTCCCCTCACCACTACATATTTCTTCTTGACCTGTAACTACTCGAAGTCATAAAACAATCTATTTTACTAAACCAGTTGYTTAATTTACATTCAGTGCCTCTCAAAAGAGAGGCCACATTCATCCCTCACCAACATAGRCTTGAGACCACATCTCAACAAAGGAATAAAAACTTGATTTTACTCACTTTCAGTATTAAGCACTGGACACAAACATTTTCAGCTTTAATTAAAAGGCAACTCATTTGTGTCCAAGTCTTCTTTTATGCTAAAAAAAAAAAAAATTCGAAAAATTCTTCTCCATCCCTCCACCTGCAATCTTTTCTAGAGTGAAATAATCCTTTAATCTCACATGAGCTAGACTGTCCTTCAGTTCAGGCTTTGGATTATTTTACAGATKTATCAAGTCTTCTCCATTTCACTGTGTTGTTTTCTCCCAGCTTCAATGCAAGATTAGTTTGGGGAAGCAGATAAAGCCATTTCCTGTGGGTGGATTATTGAAGCTATTTATGAATTTTTACGCTAACCTGATTCTGAACTCTTCATTTGGAGAAGACATCTTCCTTCCCACATAAAACCAGCAGCTTTTGCCTCAATGCCTACTGCYCACAGATGAAGAGTGAACACAACAGCTGGAGGTGTTTGGAGTGAGGACAAGAGTCTATTAAATTGTTTGAAGATGATCATTGCAAATATAAGTATTCAACTGCAGCCAAGACAGTTACTCACAGATGATCTTTTCAGAAGGGCAGTTCAGCTGTAAGTCAGAAAACACACCTAAACCAAGGAAACCTTTAATATCTGCTACATTTTTGTTTCAGCCAAAACACAAATAACATGTGCCAGGTTATCCAACAAAAAAAAAAAAAAATCAAAAAAGCCTTGCTTTCCCCTTAAACTTTAATACTTATACCAACTCTTCATATAGGCACTGAGACACTAAAATCCAGTCTTCAATAAAAAAGATAATTGATAAACAGGTTGCATTTTCCTCATTTTGACATCTCTGAAATGCCAGTAGAAGATTTTTAAACACTGAGGCACTGACAAGATAATAAGCTGCAGCAAAGGGAGGAGCAAAGCATCTGTATCATACATTTATTACTCTCATCTTTCTCATTCCTTTGCCAGATGTGAATTGCTTTCCTACAAAGGGGAACCAGGGTATCTAAGTAATCCAAAACTTCTGGGAACAACTGGCTTATGTCAACTGGCTTCAYTTTTCAAGGCAGCATAATTACTAAGCATATGCTATTCTTCTGAAAAAGACAGCCAAACATCAACTTTATTTGCTTATAAGGCCAAACACAAACCACTTTTAGGGAAAAGAAATTAAGATCCTGTCAGGTCACACAGACCACTTTCTTACATGCAAAACAAAAGATATCTTGACAGAGCTTTGGGGACTAGGAAGAAAAATGGGTTTCACTGAATCAAAGATCAGTTGAAAGAAAGTTGACAAAACCTTAAGGAATCAAATAATATCAACAACATAAGAATGAATCATAGCAAAGCTTCTATTGACTCTGGTTGTTACTGCCAGTTGTGATACACAACAGCCACTGGATTCTTTTGATCTATCTCTGATCAGAACTGAGGTGCCCAGCTGAAGGAGAAAATCTGCTCCAGTGTATTCTGTGTGGGGTACAACACCTYGACAGCCTCAGCGACTGGTGACTGGCTGGAAGAGACCTCTGACTTGAACAAAAACAATCCCATTGAATCCRCACTCATGACACCTCATTTCATCTGGAAATATACTGCCAGCAGAGGGAAGGTACCATAATGGGTGATGCAGCTTCAAGTGTGCAGCTCAAAACAAAGCTGTGTGCTGGCAAGAGATGACAGCCCACAGCTGATGGCTTACTATCACCTCTTTCAGCAGAAATTGGAAGTAATTTCTCTCCTTCCCACTTCTACACGATACAAGGTTTAAACCTTGAAATGGCTGCTATAGAAAAAAATATTAGGAAAATAAATTAGGCTTATATCTGCATAATTTCCCAAAGTAGTTTATCACAACTTAAACCTTCCCCCACTSCTACTTTACATGATGGTAACACCRTGTTGCATCTAAAACAAAACCAACYAACAMAGGAACTCAAGACACCACATCAGAAATAAATCCAAGCTCCCATGGAGCTAATAAATTAAATACTTGAGAAGTCCATAGATGGCTATAGCGATAGAGTGTTTCTGGACATACCATGTCCTTTCCCTTCAACAAGATGGTCCTGCTCATGCCCATAAGAGTTTTCTTYCAACAAGCAACACTCAGGAATTAGGATTTTCACAGAGCACTAGGAGCATCTTCAGCCCTCCTCCAAGAAGAGAAAATAGTGACACCTGTTACATGTTATTTATGAAAGCTTTTTGCTGTTTTTGAAGAAGCAGGGGTTTGTCCTTTTTTCACAAAGGGATGTCAGCAGGTCCAAAGCTGACACACACACATTGGTTTGAACCAGCTGCATGCAGGGAACAACAGTCATTTGTGCTTTGGCAGAAATGCCTTGGAAAGACAACCAACCCCACACCACCAGGCACTGCTTCCATTTCACCTGGACCTCTGCACACCACAGCTCCTACCAGAGGACATCTAATTGCATGAAAGAGGAGAAACTTTGGCTCTGCTGGAGCTGCATTCCCTTCTGCCAGCCATCAGCAATGGGAAAGCCAAAGTTCAGACGTGCAAGTCAATGTCCTCCAGATCTGCCTTGCTACCTGCCCACATSCCTCCTTTTCGAGGAGCCTTCTCCCTTAGTCCAGAAATGAGGACCTCTTCCAGGCTCATTTGCTAAAGTTTGTTTGGTGTTGGTTTGTGTTGCTGCTAAATATCAAAACCTTGGCATGAAAACASAGTGTCAGGAACATATACCCATACAAATGTATTAAAATGGTRTTAATACAAGATACAATATACACAGAATAGAACCAGTGGGCAGCCAAGTACTTCAGAGATGGTAAAAATGCTGCAAAAAAGGTAAAAGGCTGAAGAACACAGAGTTACTCAAGGCAGCTTTTTTGTTTTTTACTATTTCAGGGCTATTTCCAATTTTATCCTATAACTTACTAATTTATTCCTCCCCCACTGATCTCAATTTCTCTTTCTGCTAGGTTTAAAACAACATTTAGAATTTTCTACGGTTACACAATATCTTCGACACAGATATTTGCATTGCTTATATTTAGGTTAAATCCCACACGTACTGTTTACTGCAATATTTGCCTCCTCTAAACACCTATGAAGTTGAAAAGGAGCCATTACACATCCATCATCAGAAATGTGGATGTGATTTATGTAATGAAAGATAACAATCACATTCCAAGCTTACTAGGGAGACATAAAAACAGTATTAAAATATTTTGTGTATAATGTGGATTGCTTTCTACTCACAAATATCTGTGACAAGAGTCACACAAGATTTCCCTCCCCTCCTCCAGTGTTCAGTGTTTGAAGATCACAGCAAAAGTGCTTTTTTGCATTTCTGCCAAGTGAACTTAAATACCTTTTGGGTTTCATCCTACACTATTTTAGACTGCCTGTAGTTGTGGCATGTTTTAAATACCTAAATCAGCCTTCAATCTCCTGATGGGCCCTCCAACCCATCATCTTACACTCTTTGACAAGTACTTTGACAAGTTAACTCTCTTAAGAGCAGAGAGCTAACTCAGACTACTAATCAGTATGTTCAATACCAAATGTTTTAAGACCTGCTTGTTCTTCCTCAGAAACAATATTCAAACTCACAGAAAAACCCTCCCAACAGACTTTTCTACCCTGCCACCATTGTCTCAGCTACAGGAGACCTCCAATGTTTACGGTCCCATATTTTCTCCCTGCTTCTCACATACCTCAAAAAACACAATGGAATTCAGGTCCAGACAATCAGAAACAGTATTTCTCCACAATGAGCAAGTAGCAGTTATTTAGTTAAAGAAACCCTTTTATCCCCAAATTCTTATTAAGTAAACACATTCTATGATGATCACCATTCATGATTGTTCAAGCATTGCTTAGTGACTCCAAGAAAGAACTGTTTGTTAATGTTTTAGCAAGGGATTAGTTGTTTGTAGCTGTGGGTGAAAAGCATGTTCCAGCAACGAGGCGCATAGGAGCCCAGACTTGTTGATGGGAGGAGAATACTGCAGAAATTGGACTGTGTAGGTGAATGCTGGGTGGGGGGAAGGAGCAGGATCTGAACAGAGTTTACCTATAGGCTGCGGTATAATGGGGGAGGGAAGAGAGACTGAGATTATCCACCAAAACAGAGTTGTTCTGCCAACCACCCCTTTAGGCATCACCTTACATAAACCCTGGYTAACAGCACAGTCTATCAGAGAGGGATCCAGCAGCATCTACTACACTGCAGTAGGAGGAACTTGGGGAGAACAGGGCCTAAGCTGGAAATCCATGGGAGAGAACTGATAAACTGAGAAGCAGATGATGAAATACTTATCAAAATGCTACTAAAAAGCAGAGGTTTTGAACTAGCCATATTACTATACAATGAAACTATTGCAAAACATTCCCAATTCTTCCAGTCACAGTACCTTTGTCATTACCAAATTAAAAAGCAAGACGTACCTGAGTCAGAACATCCAGCTGTCCCATAATATGCTCCAGGGTATTTGCAAGACTGCTCTCCTCCTCTTGCTCGTGGGTCCTATCAGAATCCTGAGTTTTTGTTTTCTTATGATGAATACCGCAATCCATTTCTGAATGCTAGAAAAATAAACAGACATAATCTGCTATTGCGATGCAAACAACTGCACAAGGATTTCTGTTCCATGGAGGGTAAACAGTAAAGGACAGTTTATGCTGGGACACTCTATGCTACTAAAAACAGGCAAAGGAGAAAAGGAATTGTTCTTCTCACAGCTGGAAAAGGAAAAGCTTCTGCTGACTTGTCGGCCTGCTCCAGGTGGAGGGTGGTTTTGTTGTTTTCRGGGCAAGGGGTGCTTTTGTTTGTTTTTAAATTGCCACCAGGAAAGACAAATCTTAGATAATAATCCTGAAGCAATCCTGCAAGATTCTAGTTTTCTATATGCAAAGAACTTTGGTGTGCTCTTGTGGCATACAGGCACAGACTGCAGGTAATTGAAGACTTTCTGGAGCCACAGAAAAGCATCACATCCCAATGACAAAAAYTAAGTAAACTACCCCAGAGGAGTTTGATTATTTCACTCCAACAGTAAAATTAAAGCCTCTCTCCACGTTTGATAGTTGCAAGAAGGCAAACACATTGTACTACAGTTAAGCTAGCAGAAGCAAGATGCTTCAATATGCACTGGAACTGTTTTGATTTAGTAATTTTAATTTTGTTTATATCTTGAACTGGTTKTCTTCCTCAATGAGATTAAGAACAAGTTTACTTTGAAGTTTCAACTGTTTTAGTTATGCAAGCCTGAATATTTCATTCAGAATAAATTAAGTTTGAAAAACACAAATAGATCTCTACTAAAGAACTTATTCTTCTTTCCTTTTCTTTCAAAATGGTATCTTTCTTCTAGAACAAACACTGTTTGCATTGTTTATCTCCATTATTGCCAGTAGAAGCAGTTCAGAGAAGTTTAACTAAAGGAGGTAGCCAACTGGTTAAGCAAYTGCAGACTTCAGTTTCTCAATTTACACTAATGGACAAGATTTGAATCTAAAGCCAAGATCACAACTCTCAAAACATACTTCTCCATGGCCCAACGCCTGATGCAGCTCCGTCCCATGCACTTTATTACTCACACGAAGTTTACAAACCAACAAAACAGCAAGGAATTCTGGCAGATTGAAAAACAGTCTCTAAAAGTTTTTCCACATGTACTTTTTCAAAGTAGAAATGAAGATTTACCTCTGTCTCTTCTCTCCTGTGCAACAGCAGGATAGCACAGTACTGACTTATCTGCTCCTCTCTGTATTTGATGCCAGAAGTGTGCAGATGTGYAACTCAACTGCAACAAGACCAGCTCACATAACTTTAACCACCAAACTGTTTAGTAAATTATGAAGACATATACATTAATATTAAAAATTTTATGTATTTTTAATATATACACAAAAAGCCTTGTGCGGTTGGGAGCCACTGACCGAGGCCATAGAAAGACTCCCAAGGCTGAGGTCCAGCTCAACAGATGGCAAAATGTGTAATAAGTAGTACAAGGAACAGAAATATGGGTACCTAGGAAAGGTGCAGAGTGGAGGGGGTGAGGAAGAGAGAACGGAAGAAGAGGCTGCAGCAGCAGCAGAAGGTTTGACAGGAGAATGGCCTTGCTGCTGGCCATYAACTGCTAGTGAGAGCTGACCATTCTTGCAGACCCTGCCAACCCAACCATCCTCCTACAGCCAAGCCTCACAAGGCCAGTTCTGCATAAGGAACAGGARAGAAGGGAAAGGTTTAAATGACATTTAGAGCAGCTGCTCCACAGGGATCACTGTGCTCCACCACAGGCCCAGGATGCAGCTGGGTATCAGGTGGTACCAGCCACACCAGCCTCTGCTAATTTCCTTCCTCCCACCTGCTTGAATAATTTGGATTATCTACAGGCCCTCGGCCAACACAGCCCACACTCCAGGTCACAGARCTGCCTCAGCATGGGAGCCACACTCCAACTACTCCTGTGCTGCAGGAGCCCAAGAGCCACACTTTGCTCACTGATGCATTGATTTAATCAACTAAAATATATTCTTGCAGAGATGAGATAAATCTAGTCTTAAAAACCTGCTATTTGCTGCTTAAATTTAAAAGTGAAAACAAACAAAAACCACAAACCACTCCTTTTCAATGGGTAACTAGCATCAAAAACTATTTTTTTTCTATTTTAAGGCTGACTAGCTTACTTTGATGATGTAACTTCAGGCTAGTCAATCATGGCATAGCAGAAATTTGAGGGAGCTAACACTGCATATAACCTGCACTTAAAAACCCCAAATGRTGATGAGCTATCCACTTCAAAACCCATTAGAACAAGCTGACTCACAGAGCAGAAAAATGACTGTACTGACAGATTTTCTCCATCTATCTTTATAGCATATGTCAGACAGCTTTTCATAAAAAGCTTCAGGGTTGAACTCAGAGTCTGTATTCTCTTTGCTACAGTTCATGAAGTTTAAGAGTCTGGCAAGGGCAGTAGCACAGAGATGTTCCCACACTGATGCTTTTGGGTCAGGTGTTCCCTCACCATGTCAAGTTGAAGCCAGAGCTGTCAGATGCCACATTCTGCTGCTCACCCCACAGGCTACRAACCACCCCCACAAAAAGCCAGGCAAGCCATCTCCAGCAAGGCCTTGGGAGCTCCTAAAGGCAACACCCCCAAGGACAGAAGTATATCTACATTTAAAAWCTGAAGCATGACAACATGGCACACTGTCCCATTTTGAACATCACAGCAGCTTGAAAAGCTCTTCCTGCTCATCATCCTCAAAGTAACCCATAGCTACAGCCTTCAGCAATGAGGTTCTGAGCCAGTGCCTCTGTCTAAACCAGGGACACAGCCAGCCAGCAAATAAACACTGGGACAATGGGTCACAGCASTGACTACCAAAAAGGAGGCTTCCAAGGACCAAGGTCTTTGACTGTTCGGTTCTTGTAAATGTGCACTCAGCTGAGGAAAAACCGAATTGCCTGCAGAYTGAAACACTTCCAAATTTTGCAAAAGAAGTCTAAATCAGATGCTGTTCTTAAGAATGAATGAGAAAACCCTTAGAGACCTACAGCCTTGGAGAGGCTACAGGCACCCTTCTCCTAATGACAATCTATATCATGTAGTGAGCCAGCCACCAGGGATTGAAATTCTAACAGTTTTTAAAAAAAATCGCAAAAATATGTAATTGTGGTAGTCTCTGTGATTACAAGCAGAGACACTTGTGCTTTCATCTGACTCACCTGTGGCTATAGTGCCAGCTGAATCCTGGGGACAGGTACCAGAAACAGTGGCACTGCTGWAGAGGTTGAATTCATTTCAGTCAGAGTTCAAGTGTGCAATTTATTCGGCACAACCAAACAAATGTATTTGCCATTAAATATCTTATTACAACATCTGCGTATTAAGCACTGGGAGTAGAGCAAAGAGCAGCTGAACATTAAAGGAAGAAGAGATGAGCAGTTTCAGAATACAATACAGCTCTCAGTGACAAAGGGAAAACAGAAGTGATTTATTTATAGCAACCACTTAAAGACAGCACAGTGCAACTACTTGGGGGAAGGGGAAAATTAATCAGCCTTCATTCCAGAGGTCTCTTACTGAGCCTCTTACGAAAATTGTTCTGGCTAAACAGCATCCTGGCCAGAAATTACAGTGCTGATCGGGGGCAAGAAAAAGCTACACAATACGTGTACATCTGTAACAAACTGCAAGAAAAAACTAAAAAACGCCATTTTGCTTCTTAAATGTTGATCCTTAGAAGATACATTGTTACAATAACCACCTTCCTCAATTTTGCATTTACTAATGAAATGTAGGATTCTCATAATTCAGTCCAGACGAAATATTTATTTTCCTTTCTCCTCACCTCTCTCCACTGGATGGGAAGAATTGAGTGGTGTGAAGGGGGTAGGTTCAGCTCTACCTTTAAGTCCCTTTCAATTAATTAACACAGTGTATTTAATCTTCAGGGTTTTGTGTTTTCGTGGGGTTTTAAAAGGTATGATATTGCCAAGAACTAATTTTCAAGTGTCTAGAAAGACAGCACACCCTTTAAGCAACATACATCCAATGCATTCAATTCAACACAGACCTTCAGTGTATTACAATTCCCTAAGCGCAATCAGATTCATTATCTTAGCTGAAAAAAATCCCCTAAAAACAGAGCAGGAGAAAACCCCCAAAGGTGGTGTACGCAATTCATTTGGACCCCAGATCTACTAATCCAAAGAAGAGAGAAATACCTTTAAAATTCTGTCATGAGGAGTCATTTTCACCACAGGTAAAGTGGTACTTTAAATATGTCCTCAAAGAGCAACAGTGACATCCAGTGGAAGGARGCCAGCTTCAAGGTAAGCTCCACAGGAAGGTCAGATGGAGTACACCATGCTAGATGGGAGAGCTCATGAAAAGCTAAGAAGAAGCCTCAGGTCTCCCTGCTACACACAAAATATCATTGACTGAACACAAGCACGTTTCTCTGTCCTGGAAAAGCATCTCCTCTGCAAGGCAGCACTGAAATTCTGGAGCAATCACATTCTTCAAGACTTGCACTATTCTACATCTACTGTCCAGACCAGCACAGGGTAACAACTTGATTTAGGACTAAATTTAACATAGCTAAGTTAAATTAGCTTTGTGAAACGATTTATAGGACCATTCATCTGCACTCAACTCTTATGTCAGAACTCAAGTTGTAATAATGTATCTCGGAATAATGTAATAATGAATCTCGGAAGGAGAGAGAAACAAGAGAAGGGAGGTGAAAAGAACATTACTTACCTTTTATTTTTGCTTCAGACAAAAGGTATGTTGGGTTTGATGCAATTATTTACGCAAAACCCTCCTCCCYATTGGTGCTATTAAAAAATCCAAGTTAAACCACTAAAATTTGACACCTCTACTGTGAAAGCCATGTTTCACCACAGGGCAATAAACATTAGGCTTCTGATAAACTCAGGAAGAAATAAGAGTTAACAGGGACATCTCAAACCCATTTAAATCCCAAGGCACTCTTGTGCCAAAGCCTAAGTGAACCACTGGCAGAAGGAGGCGGATGAAGCAGGCTTGTGTATTTTAAGTGAAAGAGCA